GACATTGTTAACATTACTGTTGGTCCATGTGGTTATCCATTATTTTGCTTCCAACACACAAAACACACAAATACCAACATATAGACCATATATAACACCAAACACAGTTGGTATACGAAATATATATGGTACCCTGGTGGGGGGGGGGGACACCGCTATATATTGCATGGTAAGTATGCGGCATAATTATGACTCCCTTTTTCACATATTTCCCGTCCACAGAGCATAGATCCTACTTTTTCGTGCACCAGAGACCCTCCTTTTCACATATTTCCCATTCGAGACCCGCTTTTCACATATTTCCCGTCACGAAGCAAACGGTTCCTACATTTTCCGCACCGGAGACCCCCTTTTCACATATTTCCCGTCCCGGAGCATAGATCCTAACTTTTTCCGCAGAGACCCCCATTTTGATGTGCTGTTAGCACCGGAGCCCCCCCCGCCAATTCCATCTCTCAAGTGGCACATACCTACCCTATTCTGTAGGGAGTGGCCCCCCCCCCAGATAGGTACCTGCCCGAATTGAGTATGCTGCTTTAATAATAGTCTTAGAAATACCTCGCCTCTGAGCTCGTCACTATTTCAGCAAGGCACTAGTGTATTTTTCTTGGAAGTCAACGTTATGTCCAGCTTCATCCACCATTTCCCAATTAGGCTAACCTCCTGTACACAGTGTATCGCTGAAATAAATTAGTATCTGGTATATATTACTTAACATAATATCACTATAATCGCAATTCTTAGTGTAAAAAGCCATATTTTCATCTTAATCTTAAAGTTACGAGAAGGTCTTGGCTCTCGTAAAGTTAAGGAGGAAGTTTCCGAGGCCTTTTCGTTCTTGTAAGTTTACCGATGTTTGCTGTCTACGTGTTTACATGGTTTATGAAAGGGAAGTTAATGGTAAGACTAATGTTAAGACTAACTTTGTTCTGACAATGGTCCCCTGATTTTTGAGCTATATATTCAATTATATCTAAGACTAAGCTATTGAGACACATACATTCACGAGATTAATTCAATTAAAACTCATGTACGCTATAACGAACTTACACCAAATTCCATAAGAAATGTGCATTCCGCACCAGACACGATGCACTTGTAGTTGTAGATGCTGTCAATTGAGGCAAGGACTGCTGCATCCAGCTGAACATGATCCAGCTTGAGTTGCTTCTGATTTTCATGCTGTGTGAAAAAATTGTGAATGCAATTTAGAATAGTAGAAAACAATAGAATAAACTTTCACATACATGTAACACACAGTGTGTCGGCAATAGAGCACCTAGATAAGATTGCATGGACCAATCAATGCCGTATTATTGTTACTATACTAAGCTATTTTTGAAGTTCTGTTACGTTATTAGAGAAAAACAATGCACTCAATCCTCATCGCATGCATCCAAGATCAGTCTCTGACACGCAGAATTAAAGTCAAATCAAAGTTTTTCGTTCGAACTTAAAAAAATGATGGAAATTATGGAGGCTACAAACTTTTCCAACTCGCAGTTTCGTGATCTCGCCATTTTACTGTAGTATAGTACCATGGTATATAATTTTAGATAAAAGATATAATTATGCTATGCTAGGCAGCATTGATTTTGCACTTTTCTTTCCGCCATACTGAAAGATTACAGAGCCACGCTAGTGGTCCTTGATAAAATCTGATACTTCATCAGCACTTCAAACCTTGCACTAGGCCTCAGCGCTGGGATTTTATTTGGGTTAATTGTCTAAACCCGACTTCTGGTCACCCTAGATATAATGTGAAGTTGCACGGTGACTGCCATTTTGCCAGAGGCTTCATTGGCCATCAGCAACACAATCACCCAAAAGCTAAAAAAAATGTGCTAACCGAATGTAGCTTACATAATTGTTAGATGTTTGTTTGCCTGTGGCAAATAACTGCACCTCATTAGATACTGTTGCTAATAAGTCTGTCAAACCTAGACCAGTTTTTACATGTTTTTCACTCATACACACCTTCCTGCAGTTTACTGATAAACAATGCTTCTAGAACATTCTGTCACAAAAATGAGTGGGAAGAGCCACCTGTAAACTGTGGCAGACAGATTTAGGGTTCCATACCATAGTGTGGCTCGAAAAATTCACATGGTGCCGCATAGAACTCGTCTAGCTTGAAGTCATTGTTTCCTCTGAGTGTGAACCCAAAACCTTTGGCATTCGACTTGAGCCTCCAAAGTATGTACTCAGAGAAGCCTCCTGGACCAGCACAAATGTCTGCAAAGTAAACCAGCTCGCTTGGTTTGACCAAAGACATCTGCAACAAACAGACAAAGTGTAACTACTAGCAACTGTAATCAGCAAAATATATTTGCAAGAATCACAGCATACAATATCTAAGATCTCTAGGGAGGAAATTATATACTCTAAACTAACACACTGTAACTAAGTTAAATAATAGACAAAAAAAACTCATTATTCAGTTAGTAAATCGATAAATTTTGGTTAAAACAGAAATTAAAATTAACATTGTAAAATTAACATGTTACTAGTTATTGTCTTAGCATATTGGCATCACCGCATTAATAACAGCTTATACACACTCAATTAAAACATGTATGCTAAATTAACCCATATTTACACTGACATAGCCCAAAGTATACGAATACCCCATGTTCATCCTTTGGATTCGTAAACATATAGTCGAAAACAGCATCAATGTTGGCCATCTTCATTGCAGCTCTAGAAAAACCATAACATTATACAATTATTGAATAAAATTGTGAGAAAAAACACTAAAATTTGAGGTATAAGAAACTCCATGTTGCCTGATCAATTAGGCAATGACTGTGTTTTATATGTAAAATATATCAAAACAGTAAAATATACAACAACTATTAAGCTTGGATCTACACACACACGCACGCACGCACGCACGCACGCGCACTGGCCGATGCATGAGCAAACACATTAACAAATGTGCATTGATATGCATGCAGTCAGACAGACACACACACACACCAATGCAGAGACACAGATACGGTCTCTCTCTCTACCGCCCTCTCTGTCTTTCACTCTCTCTCCCGCCCTCCCCCTTCCCACTCTCTCTCTCTCTGTCGCTCTCTTGCTTTCTCTTCACGTATCTCTTTCCCTTTCTCTTTCTCTCTGTCATATTTATTTATTCGTAGTATGTATGTATATACTTATATTTATTTTATTTGTTTTTATGTTGTTATATTTGTCTTTTTGGTTATAATTATTCCGTAGGATGTGACATATAAAAAAAAGAGATAATATCTAGAAAGACACTGTCAGACCACTGATCTCTAAATACTACCTGGATAGATAGCTAATTCCCTCTCTCCCTCCCTTCCTCCTCCAAGTGTTTCTCTTGGAAGTTCAACGTTTATGTCCAGCTTCATCCATTTCCCATTAGGTAACCTCCTGTACACATGTGATCGCTGAAATAAATTAGTATCTGGGTATATATTACTTAACATAATATCACTATAATCGCAATTCTTAGTGTAAATGCATTATTTTCCTCTTAATCTTAAAGTTACGAGAAGGTCTTGGCTCTCGTAAAGTTAAGAGGAAGTTTCCGAGGCTTTTTCGTTCTTGTAACTTTACGATGTTTCTGTCTACAGTTTACATGGTTTATGAGAGGAAGTTAATGGTAAGACTAATGTTAAGACTAACTTTGTTTCTGACAATGGTCCCTTGATTTTGAGCTATATATTCAATTTTATCTAATTATTGAGACACATACATTCACGAGATTAATTTAAATTAAAACTCATGTACGTATAACGAACTTACACCAAATCCCATAAGAAATGTGCATTCCCCACCAGACACGATGCACTTGTAGTTGTAGATGCTGTCAATTGAGGCAAGGACTGCTGCATCCAGCTGAACATGATCCAGCTTGAGTTGCTTCTGATTTTCATGCTGTGTGAAAATAATAGTGAATGCAATTTAGAATAGAGAAACAATAGAATAAAACTTTCACATACATGTAACACAACAGTGTGTCGGCAATAGGAGCACCTAGATAAGATTGCATGGACCAATCAATGCCGTATTATTGTTACTATACTAGCTATTTTTTGGAAGTTCTGTTACGTTATTAGAGGAAAAACAATGCACTCTTCTGCCAGCAATCCAAGATCAGTCTCTGACAGCGGAATAGAGTCAAAAATCTAGTTTTTCGTTCGAATTTAAAAAAATGATGGAAATTATGGAGGCTACACAACTCTTCCAACTCGCAGTTTCTTGATCTCGCATTTTACTGTAGTATAGTACCATGGTATATAATTTTATATAAAAGATATAATTATGCTATGCTAGGGCAGCATTGATTTTGCACTTTTCTTTCCGCCATACTGAAAGATTACAGAGCCACGCTAGTGGTCCTTGATAAAATCTGATACCTTCATCAGCACTTCAAACTTTGCACTAGGCTCAGGCTTGGATGGAGCTGCTCTCACCTGGTCGGGAATCTTGAAAGAAAAACAAAATTCATAATGCCTAATATCTCCCTCTCTCCTTTCTTTTATTCATACCTTCCCTACAGGGAAAAGATTACTTTTTTTCACGGGAGCCCTTTTTTAAGTCTGTGGGAAAATAGCTCCTGTCAAAAATTTACGGGAGATATTTTGAGCCTCACGGGAGCGATTTCGGAGGTTTGAAGAGCGAATCGCTCATCGCTTCCGTGTATTTTTTACCCTGCTTCCCTATCTCTCTCGCTCTAATTAAACAATTGAAAATGTACAATTTTTTAGCAAACATAAAAACATGAAAATTAATATAAACTCCAAAATCATAAAACTGCAGCATTTTAAAATGAGTCATTTGCTAGAGAATTACATAGCAGGAATTACTTTAGCAAAATCCACC